CTATATTATTTATTGGATTGGTATTTGGCTGCGTTTAATTATGCAAAGCATTCACGGCAACTAATTAATTACTCGGTTGTATTCGGATGGCCTGCTCACCTAGCCAGCGGGGTGGCCTCAATAAACGCTTAAACAGTGCGAACGGAAACACGAGCATTGTGGCCAACAACGTTGCAAACAGGTTTGATAGCCTGCTTGCCAATCCAGGTAAAAAACTTTAGTGAAGGATGATCATTAGGAGATCAACAACTCTGATTGAATAATCTTCAAATAATTCGAACCTGTCACGTTTTTGCCTGGAACTGGATCGTCGTTGCTCGTATTCATCGTAAGTATCAGTCGTATAGCCATGTTCCTGCATCACTGGTTCATAGTAGCTCATCGACGACCTCGGGAACTGATCGTTCATCTGCGAAGAACTTCGGAATTGAGTTCCGTACTCACGGTCGTCGCTTTCACTGTAACCTGAAAAAGTGTTCTCATCATCAATGCTTGCAGTTGAGTTCGTAGAAGGTTCTGATACTTCTCATATAACGATAGATGTGGGATACAACTCCGAAATCGTCCAGTTTCGATTATATTCATTCAAAATGGACATTCCGTTTGGTGACAACCAGAAAAAGACATTTTCGCGGTAGTTGCACAGCCTAAGGTCCCTATAGGGTCCCCAAAAGGAGGGAATTACCGATTTTTGGGTAAGTTGGGGGTGTTAGGGGATAACGGATGGGGTCGGGAATTCAGTTCTGACGTCATGCCTAGAAACAGTATTATTGTAACAGGGTGAGGTGAGAGGGGACGGAGGAGGGAGTTGAATGACGACTTGCCGAGCCATCGAAAGGGGTGATGGAGCACCCGAGCGTGAGGGGACCATTGGACTCGATTGGAATAAGGAGATGGAATTAATGAAAAGCCAACCAACCGTAAGGAATACTTTCATTGGCACCTCGTTGTGTTGCGTCACTCTCGCCCTCATAATAACGCTGATGGTAAGCATCCTCTTCGTCCTCGTAACTTGCCTGCAACCTCTGTTCTTGGGTACTAATCGAAACGAGTGCAGGAAACTCGATTTGCTGTCTACTTTTGAATGGGTCACATTGATTTGAGTGCTTCACAAATTGCGAAAGCTGAATCGTTCAGTTTGTAATTGATGAGAGGCATAGATAAAACCCTAGTGAGCACATACTCTATCGTAGGGTTGAGGCGTATGATCGAGCGGCCTTGCGTGACGATTCGGGTACAGATGACTGTCCCATTGGTGAACGGAACTATTCGGCTGATGATGGATTGGAAACGACACATCGGACGTATAGTCGGAATCTTCAGAAATACCCGCTGTAAATTCGTTCGCACATAAACGCTAACGACCAATTTTAACCTACAGATCAGTGCTCAATGCTCGCTGAATCATCATAGCTGCACTTCAAATTCACAGTAACCTATGCTAGGCATAGCGCTGCTGCAACCAAATGAATCTTCGCGATCGACGGACACAGTAGAATCTCGGTTTTAAAAAACTTGATTTATTGTAGATGGATAATGACAACTAAATTTTCAACGACATATTATGTAGCTGAGCGATATTCTATGCATTTGAAACCTGGTTCGATAAAACATTTTTGCGCAATCAATGCACTGCTATAGGGATTACAAGAGCTATGTGCTTATGCTTGACCAACATCACATGACTTCTCGTGATCGGATTCCGTCAACGAACTTCCGGTTCCTTNTAATGTTAGATTTCGTAAAGTTAGGTCATTCACACTTTTCTGGCTTCTTTGCAAGCACGTAATTTCTTTTGACTGTCAACACACAAATAGCAAACGTTCTGCTGCTTTTGAAATGCTTCTACGCATTCTTGAATACACTTTCTTTTCTAAGAATTTAAGACTTCATTCGGTAGACTAAAGCAATTCCATATAATCAATACACTACTACCAGGAGAACAAGAGTATCATTTTCAAACTAGCTTTATGCTTACGCTTGACCAGCATTACACCAGACTTTGAATAATTCTCGTCTTTTAATATAATCTAAAATTGCGCAGCAGTCTGAATAGTGTTCAAAACTTACAATGAGTAAAAGGCGCACGAGGTTGTGGGAACTGATCCTGAAATTTGACATTTCATAGAAAACATTCAAGACATCCAATTTATTCACCTTTAGTAGATATTGAAAGTGTACTCTGGATTAATTAAGAATTTTCGTTTTAATCAATTCAAATCGTGAAGATATTGCAACTTTATA